TTGCCGCTGCACCTGCTGGAGCTGCTCCTGCACCTGCTGCATGTGCTGGAGCTGCTGCTGCCAGAGCGTCTCCGCCCGCTGCCGCTGCTGCTGCTGCGCCAGCTCGAGATGTCGCTGCAACTCCGGGAGCTGCTCCTGCACCTCCTGAAGCTGCCGCTGCTGCTGCTGCTGCAGTCGCTGATGCACAGGCTGCTGCTCCTGCTGCTGCTGCTCCTGCTTGTGGAGCTGCCGCCGCTGCTCCGGCTGTTGCGTCAGGTGAGCTACGTAGCCGGTGATTAGATCGACGGTCATGACGGTCAGCAGCTCCATCGCTTCATCATCTTCCTCCTCCTCCTCCTCGCCGCCACCGACCCTCGCCTGAATCTCCCCCGCAGAATGCGACGCGGCTTGGGCAGAGGCCGCAGGCTGCATGGCGGTGTAGGCCTCAGTGGCGGGTGTTGACTTCGTTGTTGCTGATTCCGCTGCCGCTGCTGCTGTGGGAGGGTCGTTGATGTCGCGAGGCAATTGAGGTGGAGGAGGTGGTGGAGGTGGAGGAGGTGGTGGAGGTGGAGGAGGTGGTGGAGGAGGTGGTGGTGGCAACTTCGCGACTCGCTGGGAGCTGATGGCGTCTCCCTCCATTGCGATTTGGTTCTCGGTGATGGCGTCGGATCGATCCGTGGATCGAGAGCAATCGATTCCTCCATGCGATAACGTTAGAATCGACTTCGATTGCAAGCCGTCGGTCAATTCTGACCTCGATTCACGATCCGCACGGGGGGGGGGTCACAGAGACCCATAGACTAATCTTAATTTTGGAGCTTTCGTGACTGCAGGAATTATTCTTTGGTTCTTTCGGTCAAGTCACGTCTAAAGATAAAATAATGTTATTTAATTTATAAAATAATGATTTATTAATTTTATTATTTTATCTTTCGGTTAAGTCACGTCTAAAGATAAAATAATAAATGTTTAAATTAATAAAATAATACAATATTTATTTTATTACTTAATCTTTCGGTTAAGTCACGCCTAAAGGTAAAATAATAAATAATTGTTAAAAAATTTATTTCATTATTTTATCTTTCGGTTAAGTCACGTCTGAAGATAAATTAATAAATTATTTAATTTATTAAATACTAAATTATTTTATTGCTTATTTTATCTTTAGACGTGACTTAACCGAAAGAACCCATAGACTACTGTAGAGAAAAATAATAATAAATATATTAAATTATTATTAATAAATAACATTATTAATCACGACGTACAGTTACTTTGCTGCCTTTTTACACCTGACGAAGGCAGCTTGTGTTGCCTTCGAAACGTCGTGATTTATTATTTTATTTATATTATTTATATTATTTTTTATTTTCATTTTTTATTTTACGGCCAAAAACAGTTGACGATTATCTGAACCGGTCGTGGGCCTCCCCAAGGTCAACTCGGCCTAAAAGTAGTCCCTGGTGTGGGGCAGCGATCATCATCACTCCGCAGTGAGAGAGAGACACAAGAGACAACCAGCTGTGCCAAAGGTTTATTAATAAACGACTTGAGTTCTTAGCGTGTCGGAGACACTTATTACACCTGTATGGGTCAGTGTGGTGAGTCTGTGGGTCTCTGTGTGGTGAGTCTGTGGGTCTCTGTGTGGTGAGTCTGTGGGTCTCTGTGTGGTGAGTCTATGGGTCTCTGTGTGGTGAGTCTGTGGGTCTCTGTGTGGTGAGTCTGTGGGTCTCTGTGTGGTGAGTCTGTGGGTCTCTGTGTGGTGAGTCTGTGGGTCTCTGTTGTGGTGAGTCTATGGGTCAGTGTGGTGAGTCTGTGGGTCTCTGTGTGGTGAGTCTGTGGGTCTCTGTGTGTGAGTCTGTGGGTCTCTGTGTGGTGAGTCTGTGGGTCTCTGTGTGGTGAGTCTATGGGTCAGTGTGGTGAGTCTGTGGGTCTCTGTGTGGTGAGTCTGTGGGTCTCTGTGTGTGAGTCTGTGGGTCTCTGTGTGGTGAGTCTGTGGGTCTCTGTGTGGTGAGTCTATGGGTCTCTGTGTGGTGAGTCTGTGGGTCTCTGTGTGTGAGTCTGTGGGTCTCTGTGTGGTGAGTCTATGGGTCTCTGTGTGGTGAGTCTGTGGGTCTCTGTGTGGTGAGTCTATGGGTCTCTGTGTGGTGAGTCTGTGGGTCTCTGTGTGGTGAGTCTGTGGGTCTCTGTGTGGTGAGTCTGTGGGTCTCTGTGTGGTGAGTCTGTGGGTCTCTGTGTGGTGAGTCTATGGGTCAGTGTGGTGAGTCTGTGGGTCTCTGTGTGGTGAGTCTGTGGGTCTCTGTGTGTGAGTCTGTGGGTCTCTGTGTGGTGAGTCTGTGGGTCTCTGTGTGGTGAGTCTATGGGTCTCTGTGTGGTGAGTCTGTGGGTCTCTGTGTGTGAGTCTGTGGGTCTCTGTGTGGTGAGTCTGTGGGTCTCTGTGTAGTGAGTCTATGGGTCTCTGTGTGGTGAGTCTGTGGATCTGTGTGGTGAGTCTGTGGGTCTCTGTGTGGTGAGTCTATGGGTCAGTGTGGTGAGTCTGTGGGTCTCTGTGTGTGAGTCTGTGGGTCTCTGTGTGGTGAGTCTGTGGGTCTCTGTGTGGTGAGTCTATGGGTCTCTGTGTGGTGAGTCTGTGGATCTCTGTGTGGTGAGTCTATGGGTCAGTGTGGTGAGTCTGTAGGTCTCTGTGTGGTGAGTCTATGGGTCTCTGTGTGGTGAGTCTGTGGGTCACTGTGTTGTAAGTCTATGGGTCTCTGTGTGGTGAGTCTGTGGGTCTCTGTGTTGTGAGTCTATGGGTCTCTGTGTGGTGAGTTTGTGGGTCTCTGTGTGATGAGTCTGTGGGTATCTGTGTGGTGAGTCTGTGGGTCTCTGTGTGATGAGTCTGTGGGTCTCTGTGTGGTGAGTCTGTGGGTCTCTGTGTGGTGAGTCTGTGGGTCTCTGTGTGATGAGTCTGTGGGTCTCTGTGTGGTGAGTCTGTGGGTCTCTGTGTGGTGAGTCTGTGGGTCTCTGTGTGATGAGTCTGTGGGTCTCTGTGTGGTGAGTCTGTGGGTCTCTGTGTGGTGAGTCTGTGGGTCTCTGTGTGGTGAGTCTATGGGTCTCACAGACTCGTCACACACAGACCGCTAGACTAACACAGACCCACAGACTCATCACACACAGACTGCTAGACTCACACAGACCCATAGACTCACCACACAGAGACCGCTAGACTCACACAGACCCACAGACTCATCACACACAGACCGCTAGACTCACACAGACATTGCAGATGCGCAAAAGAAGAGAATTCCACACCGAGGGGACGACAATATTTCGGGAAGCGTTCGTGAGTTGAGTTTTCTCGTTTGGCTGTTGCTGTTGTTGTTGCTGTTGCTGTTGTTGTTGTTGTTGCTGTTGTTGTTGCTGTTGCTGTTGTTGTTGTTGCTGTTGTTGCTGTTGTTGCTGTTGTTGTTGCTGTTGTTGTTGCTGTTGCAGTTGTTGCTGTTGCAGTTGTTGTTGTTGCTGTTGCAGTTGTTGTTGTTGCTGTTGTTGTTGTTGTTGCTGTTGTTGCTGTTGCTGTTGTTGTTGTTGCTGTTGTTTTTGTTGCAGTTGTTGTTGCTGTTGCTGTTGTTGTTGTTGTTGTTGTTGCTGTTGTTGTTGTTGTTGCTGTTGCAGTTGTTGTTGTTGTTGTTGTTGCTGTTGTTGTTGTTGTTGTTGTTGTTGTTGCTGTTGCAGTTGTTGTTGTTGTTGTTGTTGCTGTTGTTGTTGTTGCTGTTGTTGTTGTTGTTGCTGTTGTTGTTGCTGTTGCTGTTGTTGTTGTTGCTGTTGTTGTTGCTGTTGTTGTTGCTGTTGTTGTTGATCTTGTTGTTGCTGTTGCTGTTGCTGTTGTTGTTGTTGCTGTTGTTGTTGCTGTTGCTGTTGCTGCTGTTGTTGTTGATGTTGTTGTTGCTGTTGCTGTTGCTGTTGCTGTTGTTGTTGTTGTTGTTGCTGTTGTTGTTGATGTTGTTGTTGCTGTTGCTGTTGTTGTTGTTGCTGTTGTTGTTGCTGTTGTTGTTGATGTTGTTGTTGCTGTTGCTGTTGTTGTTGTTGCTGTTGTTGTTGCTGTTGCTGTTGCTGCTGTTGTTGTTGATGTTGTTGTTGCTGTTGTTGTTGCTGTTGCTGTTGTTGTTGTTGATGTTGTTGTTGCTGTTGCTGTTGTTGTTGTTGCTGTTGTTGTTGCTGCTGCTGTTGTTGTTGCTGTTGTTGTTGTTGCTGTTGTTGTTGTTGTTGTTACTTCCAGTGAACGGATGAGGACAGTGCGCCTACCCAGATCTTGAGATCCTGCGAATGGGAGAGAACGTCTCTGCTGAGCACAGGTACCGGCACCACGGCAACTACACACACACGTAGTAGGTGGTTACCCTTTCGACTGGTACAAAAACTGACACCTTGATACAAGGCATCATGTTTGCAATAACCACAACACAAGCAGTCAAAATGCAAACAAAAAGAAACAACTCTGATGATGATAATGATATGCACTGCCCTTGAAGTTCATATTCTTTTAAGTTGATTGGTCCACACTCGTGACAGCTTTTCTTAGAGCCTAGTCTCCATTGGTGTTGGACCAGATGACGCCAAAAGGCGCACAACTCAAAAACAGCGCACTATCAGAGTATTGAGAGCTCGGGGTGAAGCATTTACATTATGAGACCTCTCCTTTACCAGTGGCAAAATATAGTGATGGGTTTTACCCTTTCAACTGGTAGAAAAACTGACACCTTGATACAAGGCATCATGTTTGCAATAACCACAACACAAGCAGTCAAAATGCAAACAGAAAGAAACAACTTCAAGGACAGTGCATATCATCATCAGACTTGTTTCTTTTTGTTTGCGCGAAACGTAAAACGTTCCACAATTTCGCCATCGCCATCGCCAGCTCG